TCTTAAGGGCTCACGTTTTGGAGGTCATTTCATTCTCCAGGCCACCATGGTTCACACTATCTGTACCTTTCCTGCTGCTGTTATTGTGAAATGTTTCAGTTTTGGCCACCGGAACCTCAGTATCAAAATAAAAAATGAACACAAACGAGAACACTTCGTGAACTGTGAAGTGCTGCATGATAGCATGATTATGAGCAAGTGCCTGTACCGGAAGGTAGGTCTAAGCTTTAGATCTGCCGCTCTCATCACCTTTGGTTAACTTAGATCTGTTCATTTGACCTGAAGGTATGCTGGATGCACTCATTTCATTCTCACCTTTCCAAAATCTTTTACACTCAGCCATTAACACCGCACCTGTGAACTGGTGCATGTGCCTCGCTGCAAGGTCAGCATCCAAAGGCGGGCGCCCACACTCTCTTGGCACAGCCTGGGCACAGCTGAAGAGCGAAGGTGCACGCACACCTGCAGCTCAGCACTGCAGACGCAGGAGCACCCACTGCACGGTAACAGGCAGGAGTCAAACAACTGCCCTGAGGTGGTTAGCAAGACACAAGGACACTGTCCCTTCCCTTGAAGGAACTTAAAGGAAGGTTGCAGTTTAACCACAATAGTGGGAACTTAAGCAATTTAAGATCCACAAAGTCAAAACTGTTAGTTCACAAGACATCTATTCTCCTGGTAAATTTTAGTTCCTTTTCACCTTTCTCTTAGCTTGGTCACCAGTCAGTTACTATATCCTAGAGGACTATTCTCTCTTGTTGTGTTTGGCTCTGGTTTTGTGCCTGACTAAATTCAGCATTCCAGAATGGTCCACTGTTGACCAAAACCAAGCACAAATAGACAACAGAGAAGGAAAGATGCTCACTCATGAAAGAAAAGAACAAAATTTATTTATTCTGAGAAATGATGAAGGTTTTATTAAATTATAAGCAATTGTAGCTGCTCCTTATGGTCTAGACCAAAACAAACAAACAAAAAACTGCAACCAATTTAGAAAATCAAATCTCTTGGCCTCTTTCTCACCTTTTCATGACAGTTTGAAATTCATAGTCTTCTTGCATGTATCACAGACTTGCCCTGTTTGGTACTACAGTGGTACCTTGGTTCACTAACTTAACTTCTTTAAGGATTTGCAGGAAGATGGCAGTGTTTATGAGTCTGTGGGAAAAAATGGCTGTGGTCGTGTTTTCACCCAATGTAGAGTTTACAAACAGAAGCAAAGTTTTGCCAAACATTTTCTGAACTGAACTGTTTGCCTTTGTGAACCAAAGCATTCCTGTATACATCATCTTCAAGAGAAATATCTTTTTTTATTTTTTTGTCTTTTTCCTTTTTTTTTAATCAGTACCGGGGATCGAACTCATGACTGCCTGCTTGCAAGGCAGGCGCTTATGCCGCTGAGCTAAATCCCCAGCCCCTTTCAAGAGAAATATCTTGCAATACTCATTCTATAATAAAATTGTATAGTTCTTAAGTTGAAATATGCTTTACAGATTTTTATTCACAGTTAATTTAATTAAGCAACCTTTGAAGCTAATGATTGTATCATATCTGTTGCTGCAACCCTCCAAAATATAGTGGCTTAAAGCAAAAAGCATTTATCGGTTCCCAAGTCCTCTAAGCTTAGCAGGTTGTTCTTTTGTCTTGACAGCTGTCTCCCTTATGCATTTGCAGCCAGACCTTGGTCAGCTGGGGCTGGACAGTCCCGGTGGCTCCCCTCTCTGTCCATGGCCTCAGGGAGAGTGGCTGCAAGTGCTCCACAGCTAGGTTTCTCCCTCTGTCCCAATGTGAGCTGTTTCCTCAAAACTTCCCAGCCTGGGGGGCCCCCTGAGCATGTTCACAAGGCAGTGGCTTTCCAAGAGGGTGAGAGGTGGAGATGCAAGTTAAAGGATGAGGTGCGAGGAAGGGGCTTATCGGTATCGCTATGCGGGGTGCTGCCCAATAAACATCTGAAGCCTGTGGCTTTGACTCTGGCACAAGGAAGCAGATGGGAAGGATAGCCAAGTTGCTAGTGGAGGCTGGAGTAGCGGAGAAACTACTTCGGGAAGATAGAAAAAGGAATAAACAGCCTTGTGTAGCTGCAGGAACACTTTGTAAACACTGTTTCCCAAGGTAACTTGGAAGGTTAAAAAACTTATGTCTATGGCCAAGTTCGTTTCCAGGCTGAATGTCTATAAAGTGTCAGTGAGTTTGTTCTAGGTGCAATTAGTTACAGGAAGAAAGGAAAACTAAAGAATGCTTGCTCCATTAATAAGCAACACTTAAAGAAAGTATAAGGGAACCTGGACTTGCTAGGTTAGAAAATGAAGTTTCCTCATCTTCAGACTTTCCAGCCAGCAAAATGTTCTCACAGTGTGAACTTAAAGTCAAATTAATGGACCGAGTCCTTTAAGATTCCAGAGGATTTAAGGTGGTGCTTCCTGAAACTTCTCAGCTTGACAGTTAGTTGACTTTTCAACACCATGACAAAATATCTGGGAAGACAACTTCAAGGAAGAAAGGTTTATTTTGGCTCCTGGTTCCAGTCCCCAGTGGGCTGGATTGATTTCTGTGGGCCTGTGATAAGGCGGTGATATCACAGCAGCAGGAGCATGTGGGAGGAGGCCGCTCGCCACAGGGTAGCCAGGCAGTAGAGAGAGAAAACAAGAGAGTGAGACAGCAAAACAGAGACGGGGGAAGAGAGAGAGAGAGAGAGAGAAAGAGAGAGAGAGAGAGAGAGAGAGAGAGAGAGAGAGAGAGAGAGACAGAGACAGACAGAGAGAGAGACAGAGAGAGAGAGAGAGACAGAGACAGAGAGAGACAGAGACAGAGACAGAGACAGAGACAATCCTATACAGCTGTGCCCCTTCTACCTGCTTCTTTCAAGGAGGTCCCACCACCCAGGTTTTTATCACTGCCCAGTAATGCCATCAAATCATGAGTCCTTCAGCAGGTTAATTCTCTCATGACTCAGAGCCTTCCTGATCCAGCCATCTCCAAAATGTTCTACCTCTTAACATTGGTGTGAGGCCAATGATAGGGGACATAATGATAGGGCTCCACACATAAGCCTTGGGAACGTTTCACACCAAGAGCACAGAATATCAAAAGGACTTCCCCAAATCCTGAGGGATGAAGTCTATCTCAAAAAGAATTCTACGTCTTTTGGAGCATGGATTGAACCCAAATAAAATGTGTATAAAGTTCCACACAGTTTCTTCAGGAAGCTTACAGAGATATAATCAAGTAAAGTAAGTTGCAGATAGTCAAAAAGCGTGCAGTGATCATTGTGACATACATACACCAATGAAACTGTCACCACAATAGGGAATCAAGAGAAACATTTCCACATTCATAAAACTTTCTTCCTCTCTTCCTTCTTATCTGCAAGCAAATGTTGGTATGATTTATGTTGCAAAATGTTAGTTTTAATTTATAAGAATGTTACACAAATTGAATCAAGAAATATGTACTCCTTGCTGCCTGGGTTCTTTCACCCAACATAATAATTTTCAGATTCATCTGTATCATTTTATATATATATATATATATATCAATTATTTATCCTTTTTAGTACGTGTAGTAGCTTTCTGTTGTACAGATACACCATCATTTATTCACACATTCAGCTGTCGGTAGATATTTGGGTTGTTTTACAGGTTGCATGGTTTTGCTGTTACTCTGTTTTGGCTGCTTCAACTACAGCTACTAGGAACATCGGAACACTGATGTGAGAGTGTGTGAATGAAGGTGTTTGTGTAAACAAACGTGTTTATCTCTTTTGACTGAATACCTAGGCATAGAAGGGTTGTATCATGTACATGGTACATTTAGAACAGTGGAATTTCTTATCTGCAGTGATCAGTTGCTCCAGCTGTTCCACTATATTCCAAATACAAATTCTTTGTCTAATACATTTATGCATTTTTTTTCTCATGTATGACTTGCATTATTGTTTTCTCATAATAATTTTTCCCACAAGAAAATTTTGGTGAATCTAATTTATTAGTGTTTTTCTTTCATGGTTTAGCTTTATCTGTTCTAGGAAACATTTGTGTATCTAAAGATTGCAAATATTTTGTGCTTGGCTTCCTTGTAGAAGTTTTATAATTTTAATTTTTGCATTTATGTCTATGATCCATTTCCAGTTAATTTTTTATTGCATAATGTGAGATATGGGTTCTATTTGACCTGAAATCTTTTGCAGAAAAGACTTTTCCCATTTACTTAGCATCTCTGTCAAAGAATGAATTATGCCTACATGCATGAGTTGACTTCTGGACTATGTTTCTATTGGTATCTTTGTCTTTTGCCAATACTAAACTGTCTTGACTAAGGTAGCTTGATATTAAGTCGATGCCAGAGAGGATAAGTCTTCCAAGTAGCACTTTATTTATATGAGGTCTCTTGTTTTTCCACATAAATTTTAGCATCAGCTTGCTAATTTTTACAAAATATGCTGCTGAAATATTGATTGATATCCTGTTGAGCCAGTACTGTATTAAACTTTGTAATCCATGAATATGATGTTTCTGGTTATTGAAGTCTTTTTCTGCAGCACTATTTCCACTTCAGCACAGTTTTCATTTACTTCCATTTTTAAAAATTTTATTTCCTGATATCGTGAGGTCTTTTTTGGCATAACTATCAATGAAATCTTTTTAAAAATCTGTCCATACATAAAAATGGAAAACTTTAAATATTACATTTTATCTTATGAATATTTGTAACCAGTTAACAAGTGAAATAAAGTGAACTATACTCTCCTTCTGTTTATTGTATTTTTCTTAAGGATCTTTGGTTGCAAGTGTCAGAAACCCATTCAGCCTATTTTAAACAAAGAGTAGCAATTTGTTTTGTAGGTAGCTTTGGGAAAACAAGGGCCACCTTAGGTACTAAACCAGAAAATCTTACTAGCCACTAAGAAAGCTAATCTCAGTCTGTTTTCCTCTGAGGCTGACTGTATACGTAAGTTCTGTTTAATTCTTTCCTTTTAAAACTTTTCCATTCTCCCTTTGCAGGCACTTTTGACTGCTTCTCTACCTACTTTACGAAGGATGGCCATCTCACCGTCTAGTCCCCCAAGTTATGTGATCTTACTTCCTGTGACTAATGAAAACTGTTTGGGCTCTCTCAAATCTCATTCCAAATTCCAGGAGCAGACTGTCTTGGGCCGGGTGACTGCTCCCAACCCCGTCCGACGGGGTTTCAAAGTCAAGTTCCTGGGGCTGAGACAGCGGGTGCAGGAGCAGTTTTTAGACAAGACAGGATACAGCTGTGAAACGCTTTCAAACTGTCTACTCCAACTATAACTGCAATGGAGAGAGAGCAGGAAAACTGGAGTGTAAACAGAATGTGAAAGTATAGAAGAAGTTATATTTAGTACCATGTAAGCGATAAAAATGGGTAAGGAGAACATAGCCAGAGAAGACGCCCTAACGGAGGAGAAAACAATGGTAAAAGCTTAGCCCGCTGAGGGGACTGACGTGTAGGAGGAATAATTTGAGTTTGAAGAAGAGGCTTTCTGGAAGATTTCTGAAGTAGGAGCAAATTTGACATTTATTCCCATAAAATGAAGACTCAGTGGGCATCCACTCTGTGCCAGGCCCTAATACTGAGCCCTTGGGAATATCTTCCTGAGACTTTGTAGGGCGTGCATTTCTAGCCCTATGCATTATAGAGACAAAGTCAGAACCACATGGTGACACCTGGAAAAGAAATCAGAGAAGCTATCGCCTTTAGTGTAATATTTCGCTTCTCATTGTTTGATTTTCTCATCTGTAATTGAAGGTAAAGTGTGGGTAGTGTTCCACTTCCTGCAAGAGGTACAAGATATGCAAATCTGGATTTTAGTGTAGATTGTTAGCAATAAACCAGTAAAAATCTGGAGCAGAAGCCAGATTGCTCTGACCCTGCAGCTGATCACTATATGGCCTTCCACGAGCTTTCATCTCTCTGGCCTTATTACTGAAACACAGAAAGTAATAGCACCAGGAACACGACAGGCATATTTGGTCTATGCCAGGCCCCTTCGTACAGACTTCTCACAAATGTAGTGACAGCTAAGTGAGGTGGAGACTGTTGTCTTCCTTGCCAGTACAGAGATGAAGAAATGAAAGTAGAGTCTACGCACTTTGAGATTAAACTTTTCTCAGTTACTAAGTGGTAGAGCTGGGCAATAGACCTAAAATATCTGGTTCCACACTGCAATATACTGGGGTCCTCTTATCCATTATGAGCAGCAGTTTTTGTCAAAATACTCCTAGTAGGAATGACCCCTAGTGAGCTAATGTATCTCCTGCCCCAAAGTCATAGAAAACACAGTTACTGTAAGGGGGACTTGTGGTCTATGCTGCACGACCCTCCAGTGAGTGCTTCAAGTTCTTCAGCTGGGCAAATGTCCAGTCCTCCTTTGGGCACACTGAAGTGTCCTTCTCTGCAGAGGCTGAAAAGGTACAGGCACAGGCTTACCAGCCCTCTGTGGACCATGTGTCTTTGTGGCAGAGTCCTTAGCTAGCTGTCAGGCGGGTCCTCAGCAGCACGGGTGAGGCAAGGACAAAACTTGTTGCTCCCGGAAAGTACGCCAATGTGCAAATGTTTTGTATTTCCACTAGCTCCAAATTTGCTAAAATTTCATTATTACAATCAATGTCAAAGTATCAAGTTTCATTATCTAATGTAAGTTGACAGTCCTTAGCCTTTTAACATGAAAGCAGGAAAGATGCTGTTGAAGTTAGGTCCTTTTATTGACAAGAAACAGTTCCTCTCCATGCTTCTAGAGTAGAGAGGTTTGCACAAGTCTCCCTAGAATGAAAAAGCTACCAGGGAGCTGCAGGGACCCATGTGCTGTCTGTCTCTCAGCACAGCTTGATTGCTAATGTGTTACCGCTTTTCTCTTTCTCTCTACAGGTGGACTCCGTCTGTTGACTCAGATTTTTCTTCACAGTTTGGTTTTTGGAGAGTACAATGGAAAACAAGTCCCTCTTATAATGTCCAGCTTTTGTCATTCATAGTACTTCCCGGATCTTTTTTCTTGCACTTATTAGTTCACATTCTTGAGAAAAGGAATCTGATTGACTCAATATGTTTTGAACATGGGGTCAGAAGCATGTTGACCTTAGGGTTAGGGTCAGGCAAGGAAGAGTCACCTAGTTAAAAATTGGACTGGATATCGTGGTGCACACCTGTAATCCCAACACTTAGGAGCCTAAGGCGGGAGAGTTGTTCCCAGTTCGAGACCATTCTGGGTTACAAAGTGAGTTCAAGGCCAGCCTGAGCTGCATAGTGTGACCTTGTTTCAAAAAGGCAAAAAGGAAAAAAGTAAACAAGGAAAGAAATTGTGGCAGCCAACCACACACTCTCATATACTATGTACCCTGCCCTTCACGCTCTTAGGGACAGTGCTCTTTAGTGCGAACATGATGGGCCAACTAGTGTAGGTGAAATAGTTGGGGTAGTGAAGCAAGTTCTTGGTAGCAGGGTGTTAAATTGCCAATTTTAAACATTAAATAAAAATTAGACCATTTTAAAATATGCAATTCATATTCATTCCTAGAAATATTTATTTTTTAATTGTTAAGATGTAAGATTACTGATACTTTCCAAAGTTAATTCATCAGCAAATCTATGTGTTATTTTGAAGAAAGCAACTTTTTTACATGAATAAATTATCAAAAATAATTTCAAGGTTACTTATAGCCTCTTTTCACTTTTTAAGGTTCAAAAATGTCCTCAAATTTTCCAGTCTTTCCCCTAGAGTTTGATTTCTACTCTCTCTGACATCACTTTAATTTAGGACAAATAGTCATTACAAATGAAACTCCTAGAAGAAGAAACAAGAAATGTTCAAAGAATTTATCACTGTTTGGCTTCTAATCTTCAAGGTCAGGGCTCATAAGATCAACCCTAGAGATAAGTTTTTGGGGAACAGCTAACAATTTCAGATAACAATGTATTTTAGCAATACAAAAGGAAGCAGTACAAAGCACAAAGACTGAAACTCATTTTCTTTATTTTTATTTTAAATGTTCTCATGAAAACCTAAAGAATCTTTTCCCCAAAGACAGATTTTCATGGTATGTCCTGAAGATTATTATGCCATATTTGTCCATTATTTCCTCTTGTCTACACTCATTTCTTAAGGACTTTTCATGCCAAAACCCTGAAAAGATCTGACCAATTTCCCCTCAGTAATTAGACTAAGAATTTGATGGAATTCAGGTTTGACCATTCAAATCCTCTCTCCCAGAAAATTTGGAAACTGAAACATAGGGATTGAATAAATTGTGAATATAATTAATACAAGCTGAGCATTCCTAATCCAAAGATTGGAAATGTAAAACAATCCGAAATTTGAAACTTTTGAATACCTACATGATGCCCCAAGCAGAAAATTCCCCACCATGAAATTGTTACGTGCACAAAATTGTTAAAAACATTTAAATTTCTTTCAAGCTATGTGTATAAGTACAGTACATATAAAATATAAATGAAGTTTCTGTTTAAACTTCAGTTTTCTCCAAAATCTGAAACAATATCCCAAATTTAGAATACCACTTGTCCCACGTGTTTGTGTAGCAGATATTCAACCTGTCTTAGAACTGGCCTTAGAGCATCCCAAAGGCAAATGTAGCTGAAGTTATTGGGAAATAGACCCTGAAGCTAGGGAAGAAGCTCATCATCATAGGAAGATGGCGCTGACCTGCAAAGAAATGTAAAGATGATTACTGAGAAAGACCAAGAGAAGTTACCTGCCTGAAGATGTTTGAGCTCCTGTATGGTTCCAGCTATATCATTAGAGCAGTGGCATTTCTTCAGACCTCTACAATAATTTTTTCTTTGCTTGAATTAGCTGGAATATGTTTCCTTTTGCTTAATGAGAGTAAGATAATTGTTTCCTGTGAGCATTATATATAATGTGGATGAAGACAGAGCTTGGGAGTACATCAAAACACAGAAGAGGATAGCACCCAGCCCTTCCAATGTTCTATGGAGGAAATGTATGTCATACACCTTTGCAAGAAATAGCAGTTTAATCCAGAAGAGATCTGATGATCAACTCCTGCTACCGCGATGGAAATTAATAAAAAAATGTTTTTCCCAGCGAGATAGATTGTTCAGTCACTGTGATCCCTCAGTGAGTTATGTTGAGTGTCTGATGCTTGAACAGCTCAGGGTACCTCAGAAGATCAGATGTGTTACAAATAAATTGTTTCCTGGAGAATAATGGGGTGAGTCAGCTCCGATATAACATACTTTAACCCAGTGGACACTAATGTTAATTTTGAACAAAAAGCATTGAGCTGGAAAGTTGGAAGTTTTGAATCACACACAAAGAAATCGGTCCTTTCTTCCATAATCTTCTCTGACAGTGAATTCCAAGTTTCGACAAAGTGCTATGAATGAGTTTCTGAGACAGTTCCGAACAAACACCAGACATTTACTATGAACAGGTGTAGGTACACTTAGTTTTTGTCAAGGAGCTATTTACTAAAAAGTGAACTGAAAGAAGCACAACCAAATGGTTTTATATTCTGTAAGAGATACCATTTATATCTTCCTCTTTGTGTTGAAGCCTGAATATTGTGTTGGTAGAGTCGTAGCTAGAGATCCTGTGACTCTCTCTGATCTCCTGATATTTGTTTAAATTAGGAACAAGTGCAATTCTAAATAATGCCATTATAACTTGCCAAGAGTATTAATAACTGAAAATCCCTGAGTTGTTCACAAAGTCTAGGAAAGTCCATGATAGCCCTGGAAAGCACAGTGTCAGTCTTTAAGCAATGACATGATACTTTGTTACTGAAGAAAAAAGCAGACCGTGTAACCCTCCGAATCTCCAGGTCCTGTGCAAGTTGAAGCCTTGGTCATCAGCACAGGATGCAAGGCAAAAGAGGGCTTCCCAGCCCATGAGCTGCATCTGTCGGTCTGGTGGATAGAATGAAACACAGTATACAAATGGCTTTGGGTTCCCAAGTTCAGTTTGCCTCTTTCTTCCATGACAGCTCAAGGAACTTTCTCAGAAGTAGCTAAAAACCCAAGCATGTTGGGAGCTGCCGACACCGGTCGCCTTACTTGGCGGACGTAGGGCCTGTGGGTGGGAGCGGAGCCTGAGCTAGATTGCCCCTCCCATCGAGTGAGTCAAGTTGGCGCCTGCTTCCTGCCCCCTGATTGCGCTGGCGACTTAAACAACCCGCTCTGTAAGATAGTCTGCCTAGCAACAACTGATGTTAGCCAATCAGCCCGCATCGCGCGCTTTGAACTGATTGGCCACTGTTACCCTATAAAAGTAAATGCCTCTCCCGCCACAAGGAAGAAGCACAGAGAGGAAGCACAGAGAGAGATAGAGAAAGTCCACCGGCGAGAAAGGGCTGGTGGCAGAGTGGAGGCCTCGCGGGGCCCATGCGGAGACAAATAAAGGCAAGGTTGCACACCGCCAGACTTTGTCGTGTGTCTTTCCTGCCGGCCGGGAGCGACCTCGACACAAGCATAGCTTAAATTAGGTCTATAGAGAGAGAATCATGGGTGAGAAGATATTTAGAAAGCATCACAAAGATTCACAGTCTTGCCTAAGACTTTCATGATTGTAAGGCTGAGTGCCTATCAAAGGATGGCTGAAGACCAAGCAAAACACAAACCTTTTCAGGGTGTAGTTACTGGTCACTTCATGGTCTGGTAGAGCAAAGGATAAATTCTTGAAAATGTCAGGTATTCTGTAAGGTATATTCTTAGAAAGAGGAAAAAATAGGCCTTTCAGAATTCAGAATTATTATCTAAGATAAAAGTCATTGTTCACATCCAACATGAGTGTATAAAGACAAACACAAGTGTTGCAAAATTAGTCCCTAGAGTGTCATAATCAAATCAAGGGATTTTTGACTATTCCAGATTATTCAGCCACATCCCCTAAACGTTATGCTATGAATAAGCACGGGACTACATTGGGCTTCTCTCAGTTGGGATTCAAATGAATTCTGGCAAAAATCCCAGGGAGGTGGAAGGTGGTAACTGTGGAAGACAGAAAGAACAGGCAGATGGATATCAGATGAAATTGGCTTTGACTCTCAGGGCCACCGTTCATCATATCTGACTTTGAGCAAGCAGTCAAACACTTCTGAACCTCAATTCTTTTCCCTTCAAAATCATAATATTAATAACCATCCCATACGGTTATTGGGAGAATTAAGATAGGGAACATGTGGAGCGTTAATACCTAGCGCGTGGTGAGCACTCATTAAAGATCAGTCCTCCTCAAGTGGGGCTTAGAAATAATTGACATTTCATAGTCTGCATCTCATTGTGCTACTCTTATTTCTTCCCTGAGCACAGAGAGGTCAGCAAATGGAGCTGACCAAAGCCTTATGTTACTGTTCTCTAGCCAGGCAGCTTGGGGACAGTTAGTAACCTCTTGGTTTCCACTGTAGATGAATCAAATTAATGGAGGTAAAACACTTAGCACACTGTCTGGCTCATAGTGAGCACTGTAGAAGTCACTATCTTCACTACCTTTACTATTACATATATTTTGAGTAAAACATACATGTCATCAAAGAAGCATATTCCTGATTGGCTTTTTCCTCTATTTTTCAACTCATATACGTCTTTGAGCCATCTTGGTATTTTTTATGCTTTCTAATGTCAGATTACTCTTTTCCAAACATGACTGCAACAGTAGTTCCCATATTACCTGATCTTCTACAGTGTGACCTGTCACTTCTTCATCAGTATACAGTATCCTCTATTCCTTGAGTCTGGTGGGCATGTGATGGTTTTGGCCAGTATAATACGGTCAGAGTGAAATTATGAGTGATAACTGGTGATTAGCTTTTGCCTTAGCTAGTGTACACTGGTATTGGGAGCCCAGAGGCTGCCATGTTCATAAGGACCCTGAGTCACATAGAAAGGCCAGATGGTGATAGTCTGGTCAGAGTGTTTATAAGTCACCTCTCACCTAAGACAGGAAATTGAAGCAGCTGCAGAGGAGATCACCGCCTTTAGGGAGCAGAACCAACACTGCTCTTCTGCACCCCACCCAAATTCCTGACCCATGGTGTGGGTGAGCTTAATCAACTGGCTATTGTTTGAAGTTGATATATTTTGGGGTAGTTTGTGATGCAGCAATAATAACTAGAGTTCTTTTTTTGAAGGGAAAAAGATCCATTATCAATCTTCATGGAATTAACATGAAAAAACACTTTTTGAACAGAAAAGATGGCCTTATAATTATTCATGGATGTAATTTGAAAAATAGATGTTTTAATTCTATTTTTCTTTTATGAGTTAACAGATAGGACCTGGACAGGTCTTTATGTATTACCTATCAAAAAGCTTGCATGGTTTTCTTGCTCCAACATGTGTAAAGTTACAGTATCTTTCTAGAATTAGAATTCCTAAAGAGAATTTTGTTTTGTTTTGTTTTGGGAGTTGAAGCAACAGAAGTTTCTCTGGTGTTTTCTAACTCTTTAACAGAAATTTTTTAGAAATGTCAAGCAGCTGTATGTGGTTACTGCTGAGTATTTTAAATAGCTAATGGCCTCCTTAGCTGAATTACTCACTGCAACTTGCTAATGTAGTAAGGGGGTCTCCATCAGTGAGCCTTTCTAGATGTGTTTGAATCCCTCCTAGCACTGTGGCCACTCTTGTGGCACCAGTATGGGAAGGCCAGTCCTGTGGTTTCAAAACTGGAAAACTCCTGAGTAGGTACATAGGACATCAAGCAAGACAGGGTCAGCCGTGTAAAATAAGGACGTAGAATCCCATTTCTTAAGATTCTTAAAGGAAGCTTTTCTGAGAATAACCAACTGGTGCTCTCTTCCGTGTGTGTGTGTGTGTGTGTGTGTGTGTGTGTGTGTGTGTGTGTTTGTGTGTGTGTGTTCAGGCCATCATGATTTCAAATCAGAAGTTCTAGTAAGAGCTGATCCTCACTTTCCTATACTATGAGCTCCTATAACCTCCTCGCAGGCAGGCAGTGCTGTTCTGTGGGTTAGTCTTTGAGGGAGGTTGGTACCACACAACAGGACATAAGAGGTGAGGGTGCTGAGCAGCAACAGATTGTCCTTGTCACATGGTCACACTCTGAAGCGCTTTAAGCCTCTGTCTTTGTAAGCAGCTGCTCTCTGCTGGCCCATTCGCCGCTTCTCTCTCCTGTGAAAACATCTTCCGAGGACACCTCTCACAGACGAGGCTCATCTGTCTCCTGTCAATGCAACTTCATCCTGCAAGTTATTTAAATTCGCTGATCCTTGGCTTTTAAAACAATCATGTCATGTCCCTGTGTTGCAAGACTTTTGTAAGAGTTAAAGAAATAACATCAGTAGAACCTTAAATTGTGCTTAGAATGTAACTAAACGTTCATTGTACACTTGCGGCTATTTACAATAAATAAGTGCTGATTAACCACCAAAAAGAAACTGCTGGAGTCCCAGATGTTGGGAGCAGTGACAAGGAACAGCCCTCTCCTGGAGACTCTGAGCAAGTGAGGCCCTGGCAACATCTTAGAACAAGCTTTAGAACAAGAAAGAATGAATCTTTTGTTGTTCAAAACCAGTCAGTTTGTGAAAACATACTATGACAGACCTGTGAAATGAGTGTACGCAGGAAGCCATAGCACTCTCAGAGCTCATCCTACACAGACCTTCCTGGGAAGGGCAGAAGTGCAGACTGGCCTCACCCTGCTGGGCAAAGAAGCTGAAAGATTCAGCTCCCGGGCCCTCCCAGAGCTAAGATTCAGTCCCATTGTTGCCGTTTCACAGGTCTCCCTAAGGAGTAACACTGCTGATTTTGAGAGTGGATCTTACGGTCCCAAATGCATGTTTAACCAGTAAAATATTTTGTTTTATCTCTTTGCCACTGCGTCTCCTGAGCTGGGGCCCTAAGTCCCAGCTTTCACATCATTTGGGTCTCAGACTTCAGAGAGAAAGGGAAGGAAGCAGACAGCGTGAAGCGGTGCTGAGTGCAACACAAACGGAAAGCCCTGCGTCTCTCCCTCCCCCTCCACACGCCCTGCCATGGCTCCACCCGTTCCATGTGCCAGCCCTTCTCTAGCTGGTGATAAACACGTCCAAGGTGCCATTCGTAACATCATAGTCCTCTGTGCTTTCACATTTTTTAAATTAAATGATGTTATCAAATTAGGGTCAGCTTTCCACCCTCTAAGTTTTCAATAGTACTTTTGCTTTATGTCATACATTTCAATGTGTTTGAGAAATACTATATTTCTTGTGGATTCATTGGGACTCCTCTTCTAATTTTTCACAGAAGTCAAAAGCTGGCATTGGCCCATACTCTCATACTTTATCAAGGCTCCAAGCAGCTAGGATATCTGTGAGAGCCCAGAACTATTGCCATCCCTACCTACCATGCTCAACGCTGTCTCTCTGCTGCTTCTCAAGTCTCCCAGCATCAGTGTGTTGGTGGAGTTGGGGTGCACACACCCAGCGGCTGCCCTGCACTCCACTTGCTATAGAAATAAGCCAGAGGACCTAATTCTGGGTTCTTGTCTCATATTCAAATTAGATGAACTGGGAAGTGGCTCAGAAGAATGATGCCATTTTCTGTGAGACAGAAATGCGCACCTGTCTCATTTATTTTTTTTAGCCTGGTAAAGAGTCACGTAATGACAAAAGATTCATTTATCTGTTTTATCCTGTGATTTCCAGACTTAGTTTTATTTACAGCATCCTCTGGATTGAGGGAGTCGGGGAGGAAGATGGAGGAGAGGGAAAGCAGCAGAGGGATAGGGCACGTTCCCAGTGTTTGGGATCACAAATCTTTGTTTTCCCACTTGATATCACATAAAAGGGGTCTCCTTCAAAACTAGCCAGGCCTAAGAGATGGTCTAGGCAAGGTTAGCTTGAAATGTGTGTACAAAGACTTGGAGAAAAGTAAATAAGGCAGAAAACCAGGTGCTGAATGTTGATTACTCCTTTTTTTGAACCAAGCTTTCTTGATTTTTCTTAAAAAGAAATTGAAAATCAATCTGGAATGCACACTACTCTTTAGCTCTTGTTCTTGCAAAGTACATGTTCAGTTTTAAAGTGGGATTGCTGAGAATAGAGATACTGAGAAATGCTAGTGATGGGAAATGGGAGGAAAGAGAAGAAAGATGGGAATAGAAGGATTTTGGTACATCAAAGTCAGTCTTTTCAATGGGTCATTCCCTCTGACCCGGAACAGTAAGATAAACCTGAATGTGAGAAAACACATGAACAGATCTTTCCTCTGCTACATTTCAAATGCCATATTGCAGCATTTGAAGGGAGGAATTGATCTGCGTAAATCAGCGTGAGTAGTCGCGGACATCACTGCTCAGTGAGCCGCATCCTTCAGCATCTCCTCACTCGGCCCACGGTTCTGGGCCGTCCAGTCCTGGAGGCTGCCTGTTTCAGTCAGAAGGGTGTCCAGATGTTCACTAAAGAAGCGAGGACAGGAGCATTTTCT